TGGCCCAAGTGCTTGGGCCCCTGCCCTGCCTGGGAGCCTCAGATGGAGCTCCAGGCTCCTGGCTTCGGACTGGCCCAGCCACAGCTGTTGCAGCCATTTGGGGAGGGAACCAGTAGAATCTCTCTCTCTCTCTCTCTCTCTCCTTCTCTCTTTCTCTGCCTTTTGAATGAATAAAATAAATCTTTTTTTAAAAAAATTAGCCTGCTGGAAATTTATTGAATTTCAAGTCCCACCTGTGGTTGCCTTGGCTGGCCAGACCACAAGGTCACAAAGTGTCATGGGCCTTATGCGGCCTGCGGGCTGGACACGCCCCACCCCTGCTTCCCTCTAGCCCCTGGAAACCACTGACTTACTTTGTGTGTCTATGGATTTTTGAAAATATTTATTTATTCATTTGTTTCTTTTATTTTTTTACAGGCAGAGTGGACAGTGAGAGAGAGAGACAGAGAGAAAGGTCTTCCTTTTGCCGTTGGTTCACCCTCCAATGGCCGCCACAGCTGGCACGCTGCGCTGATCCGATGGCAGGAGCCAGGTACTTCTCCTGGTCTCCCATGGGGTGCAGGGCCCAAGCACTTGGGCCATCCTCCACTGCACTCCCTGGCCACAGCAGAGAGCTGGCCTGGAAGAGGGGCAACCGGGACAGAATCCGGCGCCCCGACCGAGACTAGAACCCAGTGTGCCAGCGCCGCAAGGTGGAGGATTAGCCTAGTGAGCCGCGGCGCCGGCCTGTGTCTACGGATTTTTGAAAATATTTATTTATTCATTTGTTTCAAAGGCAAAATGTTAGAGAAGGAGACAGGGAGGGAAGAAGTGGGGGGGAGAGAGAGAGAGAGAGAGAGAGAGAGAGAGAATCTTCCACCCATTGCTTTACTCCCCAGACAGATACAAGAGCCAGGGCTGGGCCAGGCTGAAGCCGGGAGGCAGGAGCTCCATCTGGGTCTCCCACACCGGGGTGGCAGGGGCTCAATGACTCGGGCCACCATATGTTGCCTTCCCAGGCACATTAGCAGGAAGCAGGATTGGAAGTGGAGCAGCCAGGACTCGAACTGATGCTCTGATATGTGATGCCGGCATCACTCATTGTGTCACAATGCGGGCCCCTCAGCCCTTGTTCCGTAGGTTTTTCCGTTCTGAGAGTTCTTGGTAAATGGAGGCACGCACGTAGCATCCCTTGAGAGTGACCTCTTGCTTTTCAAAGTTGGCCCATGTTGTAGCACGCATCACTCCTTTCTTCCTCTTCAGGGCTGAATACTATTCCATTGCACAGGTAGCCTGCATTCATTCATTGACCAAGTGGGTGTCTCCACTGGTTAGCTATTATGCAGAAAGCTGTTTGGCGCGATCACTAGCATCGGCACCTGCAGTGGAGCTGCTGGGCCACACGGCTAACTCCATGTTTAACTTCTGGAGGAAGCACCAGGACTGTTTTCAGAAGAATCTGTGCCCACTGCCCATTCCCCCAGGCAGAACCTGAGAACCCAGTGACCCCGCATCCCGCTGGGTGCGCGGTTTTGACGGAGCAAGCCTAGTGGCAAGTGAGGTGGTAGCTCTCAGTGGCTGTGATGTACATTTCCCGAATGACTCATGCTGTTAAGAATCTCTTTGTTTGGCCGGCGCCGCGGCTCACTAGGCTAATCCTAAGCCTAGCGGCGCCGGCACACCGGGTTCTAGTCCCGGTCGGGGCGCCGGATTCTGTCCCGGTTGCCCCTCTTCCAGGCCAGCCCTCTGCTGTGGCCCGGGAGTGCAGTGGAGGATGGCCCAGGTGCTTGGGCCCTGCACCCCATGGGAGACCAGGAAAAGCACCTGGCTCCTGGCTCCTGCCATCGGATCAGTGCGGTGCGCCGGCCGCAGCGCGCCAGCCGCGGCGGCCATTGGAGGGTGAACCAACGGCAAAGGAAGACCTTTCTCTCTGTCTCTCTCTCTCTCACTGTCCACTCTGCCTGTCAAAAAAAAAAAACAAAAACAGAATTTTATTCGCTTCCTTTTTAAAAGATGTATTTATTTATTTGGAAGGCAGAGTTACAGAAAGAGGGGGAGAGAGAGAGAGAGAGAAAGAGAGAGAGAGAGAGAGAGGTCTTCCACCTGCTGGTTCACTCCCCTAGCGGCCCAAATAGCCAGGGCTGCATCAGACAAAAGCCAGGAGCTGGGAACTCCATCCAGGTCTCCCATAAGGGTTCAGGGGCCCAAGCACTTGGGCCATCTTCTGCTGCCTTCCCAGGTGCATTAGCAGGGGGCTGGATCAGAAGTGGAGCCACCGGGACTCGAACCAGCACTCCGACATGGGAATCAGGTGTCAGAAGCAGCAGCTTAACCCATCGCACTGCCACGCCGGCCACGATCTTCCGTTTTTTCTGTTGTTCATAAAGCCACTCTAACTGAGGTGAGGCACTACCCCGTCGTGTTGGCCAGTCCCTGTGCCCGTTTTTTGATGGAACTGTTTATTCTATTTATCACCAGGTTGTAAGAAGCTGACTGGGGCCCTGTTTGCTGAGAGCCAAAGTGTTGTTTGCAGAGTTCCTGAAGTTTGGCCCTGGGTCCTGTTTGCTTCACCTGTGGCAGCCCAGCCCAGCAAGCACACTCCCCTAAGGCTTGGAACCAAGCCACTGCTTCCTGCTGGCCACACGGCAACCCCCATCTCACAGATGGGAAAACTGAGGCTGAGGGCGGGAAAGGGGCTCGCTCAGGATCTCAGGCAGGACCCGGGAGGTCGGAGCCAGGCTTGGACTCAGACCTGTCCAGAGCCTCCCAAGTCCACCCAGGGCTCCGGCCTCTGCAGCTGTCCTTGTCACCGCCGCAGTCCCATGAGGTGAGTCACCTAGCCATCCTTTTCCTCATTACACAGGAGGGTAAACTGAGTCAGGAGAGGCCATGTGACTTGCCCCAGCCTCCCAGAAGTCAGAGCTCAGGGCCACTGAAGCCCAGAGGAGCCCCACCCCCACCCCATCCCCACCCTTGTGCTGTGTCCAGCCACACGTACACACACACATATGCACCCCTGCAGTCTCCACCTTTCTCTGGCCCAGAGTCAAGCTCCAGAGAGATCTGGCAGGCACAAACTTCCTCCAGGGCAGCCCCCACCCAGCACCCAGCTGAGCCCTCTGGCCCAGCACTCCCAGCCCTGCCCAGCAGACCCAGCCCAAGACCTTTGTCCCTGCACGAGGTAGGACCCTGGCTGCCATGGGCCTCTGGCCCTGTTTGCCTTCCTCTTCTATCTCCCCAGGCTTTGCAAGGCTTTGGGAGAGGGTGCAGGCTGCATGCCTGGCTCAGTGCCATCTGGCTAGAGGATCGCAAAGCCCCCCAGTCAGTCAATCAGTTCAGTAGGAGGGGCCAGGCAGGCCAGGCTGGAGAAAATGAGCAAGTAACATCCCTGTCAATCCACTAGCCCCAGAGCACTCAGCGCCAGTGAGTAAAGTTGGCCAGATCCTTGCCCATTTGGGGGCATTCTGGCTTCCCCCATGGAGCTGGAGACAGGTTTTTGCCCGAGTACTTGGGTCCCTGTCCTGGGTTCCAGGCTTCTAGCCTCAGCCAGGTCCCAGTCTTTGCTGGACAGATGGAAGAGCTCTGTCTCTCTGCCTTTCCGACAAGATGATAATAGATAAATAAAACATTTAAAAAAAAAGTGATAGGGGCCTTTGCTGTGCCTTAGTGGGTAAAGCTGCCGCCGGCAGAGCCGGCATCCCATACGGTCGCTGGTTCAAGTCCCGGCTGCTCCACTTCCAATCCAGCTCCTGGCTGATGGCCTGGGAAAAGCAGCGGAAGATGGCCCAAGTGCTTGGGCCCCTGCACCCACATGGGAGACCTGAAAAAGGCTCCCAGCTCCTGGCTTCGGATCGGTGCAGCTCTGGCTGTTGCTACCATTTGGGGAGTGAACCAGCGGATGGAAGACCTCTCTCTCTCTCTCTCTCTCTCTCTCTCTCTCTCTCTGTCTCTCTCTCTCTCTCTGCCTCTGCCTTTCAAAATAATAATAATCATCTTTAAAAAGCGGCTGAGTTTGTCTCAGCTCCTCTGCTTCCTGCTCAGGAGCACCCTGGCAGGTGCTTGGGTCCCTGCCACCCATGTGAGAGACTCAGATCGGAGACCAAGCTCCAAGGTTGCTCGCTCGCTCGCTTTCAAATAAAATGAAAATAACATGTTTGAATAAGTGATTTAAAAATAAAATAGGAAATGTACAGAGCATGTCCGGCCGTGTTAAACAACGAGGGAGGTGATACGGTGGGAAAAGGGACCAGGCTGTTGCAGGGAACAGAGCTGGGATTTTAAACAGGGTGAGCAAGGGAGGCGCTTCGCTGGGAGCAGAGGCTGGAGCCGCTGGGGCCAGGAGCTCCAAGCCTCCCGGGTAGGGAGGACAGGATGAGGGGTGGGGAGCAGACCAGGCGGAACCTCCCAGGGAGTGCCCTGGTGTGGGAGCCAGGACTTCGTGGAAAACATTTCCAACTTTCCATTTTTGCTTGATCAAACCTGTTCCACCACCCCCTGCATTGGGGTGGACCCCGGCCCTGACCAGAGGCCCAGAGAGAGAGAGAGAGAGAGAGAGAGGACAGGGCTCTGGGAGAGGTGGGGGGACCCTGGAGGGGGGGAGCAGCAGGGGCTTCTGGGAGCGTGGAGCACTTCAGCTAAGGCATCCAGGCTCACTGCCAGCGCCGGGAACTGCAGGGGGGCTGGGGAGGAATGCAGGCGCCCTCTTGGACCCCGGGAGATCTGGATACCCCTACAGTTGGTCCTTGGCTTCCGAGCCCAGCTCCTCCGGGGCTGGAAAACCCCGATGCCTGGATGAGGCCGGGCGGGTACAAGATGCGCCCGGAGCAGGTGCAGCTCCGCGGGCGGCCACCCAGCCCGCTCCGCCCAACAGCTGCGGCCACGCCCTCTCTGGGTGCTCCCAGGCTCGACCTTCTAGGGTACTGGGCCGCGCTCCACGCCCCCAGCCCTCCCGCGCCCGAGGCGCCGAAATGCTTTGAGGACGGTGGGGTTGGAGGCGGCAGTTTGCGATTTGCACCAACAGTCGCTGAAGTTCCGGGGGACGCAGAGTCGGAGTGGGAAGGGCAGGCCCCTCCCGCCCGCAGCACCCGGGACCCGGGCGCACGACGGCCAGGTCCGTCCTCCTAAGGGCGAACGGTGGAGGTGGGAGGGGGCCACGTCACGGTCCCCAGGCCCGGCCCCGCCCCGCCCCGCCCGCCCCCGCCGGAGCGCTGGCTCGCGGAGCTAAGTCGCCCGGCCCCGGCCCGCCGAACCAGAAGCAGGTGCAAACGCAGCGGCGGCGCGAGAGAGCGGAGCCGCGCCGTTAGCCTCCGCCGCCGTCCCCGCGTCCGTCCGTCCGTGCGTCCGGCCTCCGGCCCGCGCGCCGCCGCCGCCGCCGCCGCCGCCGCCGCTCCCCGCCAGGCCCAGAGGCCCCTCGCCTCCCTGCACCCGGCGCCGGCGGAACCGGCCTCCGAGCAGCAACCATGTCTATGGGCCTGGAGATCACCGGCACGTCGCTGGCCGTGCTGGGCTGGCTGGGCTCCATCGTGTGCTGCGCGCTGCCCATGTGGCGCGTGTCCGCCTTCATCGGCAGCAGCATCATCACGGCTCAGATCATCTGGGAGGGGCTGTGGATGAACTGTGTGGTGCAGAGCACGGGGCAGATGCAGTGCAAGGTGTACGACTCGCTGCTGGCGCTGCCGCAGGACCTGCAGGCGGCCCGCGCCCTCATCGTCGTGGCCATCCTGCTGGCCGCCTTCGGGCTCTTCGTGGCGCTCGTGGGTGCCCAGTGCACCAACTGCGTGCAGGACGAAACAGCCAAGGCCAAGATCACCATCGTGGCGGGCGTGCTCTTCCTGCTGGCCGCGCTGCTCACCCTCGTGCCAGTGTCCTGGTCGGCCAACACCATCATCCAGGACTTCTACAACCCGCTGGTGCCCGAGGCGCAGAAGCGCGAGATGGGCGCCGGCCTGTACGTGGGCTGGGCCGCCTCGGCGCTGCAGCTGCTGGGGGGCGCGCTGCTCTGCTGCTCCTGCCCGCCGCGCGACAAGTACGCGACCACCAAGATCGCCTACTCGGCGCCGCGCTCCGCCGGGCCCGGCACGACCGCGGGCACCGCCTACGACCGCAAGGACTACGTCTGAGCGCTAGGCGAGGCAAGACCCCCGCCCCGCCGCCGCCGCCGCCAGCTGGAGCGCCCGCGGGACCCACGGACGGCCTCGCGCCCGAGACCAGGCTGGCCCCGCGCCCCCTTCGCCAGCCCTTCGCCGCTCTGCGGGCCGGGGCGCACCGGACTGCGGGATCCAGGGACCAACCCGCAGGAACAATGCGCCGCTTCGCTCGCGCAGAGGGGCTCAGGCGGCCGCCGCCCCTCGCCCGCCTAGTCGGGCCCCTCCCCGGCCCCAAATGCCGGGTTGGGCAGGGCCCGGCAGCCAGGATATTTTTCAATAAAAGCCTTTTCGTTTTGCAGTGGCTGGCGCCTCCTTGTCCTGAGCGCCCCCCCTCAGGGGTCCCCTTTGGCTGGATTCCTCCGCTGTCCTGCTGGATAGAGTTTAGCAGGGACCGACCGAGGGTCAGTAGGGAGAAAAATGGAGCCTGCTCCCTGGGAAGTCAGGCAGTGAACAAAACAGAGAGACTGGCCTGGGTGCTTCCAGCTGGCTGGTGGGGGAGGGGGGCAAGGCCACAGGGACTCTCTTCCCTAGGGAAGAGAGAGGGACCCCATCTTCATGGGTCCCCCCCAACAGAGGTAAGGTGGGCGCGAGGCCTCAGAATCTGCTGCTCAAAGGGGCTTGGCCCAGGCCCAGAGGAGGCTACTTGCTTAGCGATGCTGGGATTCCCCGCGGCTGGAGGGATCGCGGGTGGGAGGGTGGTCCCGAGGCCCAGGGCCCCGCAGAGGGAAGGGACGCGTGTGGGTTCTCCAAGGCTCTCCCTGGAAGGCCTGTAGGGAAACCTTCTGAGACATCAGGGCTGAGAGGGTGGTGGCTAGGAAGCAGGAGCAGCTGGTGGGGCTGGGCAGAGTCTGAGAGCCAGGGGAGATGCAGAGTGGGGGCGACGGGTGACCCTGGAGTACCCCCAACTTTTCTTCTGAGTTCATTCATTGGATAGTAGGGCCCTTGACCATAATAGGAGCCCAGGTTTCTGGGGGAAGGTGATGGGTTCCATTTTGTTTTCCTTTAAAATAAAAAAGATTCATTTGAAAAGCAGAGTTACAGAGAGGCAGAGAGAGAGAGAGGGCTTCCATCTGCTGGCTCACTCCCCAAATGGCCGCAACGGCCAGAGCTGAGCCAGGAGCCAGGAGCTTCTTCCGGGTGTCCCACCTGGGTGCAGGGACCCAAGCACTTGGGCCATCTTCTGCTGTTTTCCCAGGCACATTAGCAGGGAGCTGGATTGGAAGTGGAGCAGGCGGGACTGGAACCGGTTCCCATATGGGATGCCAGTATGGCAGGTGGCTGCTCTACACCCTATACCACAACGCTTGCCCCTTGCTTTTCTTTCTTTCTTTCTTTTTTTTTTTTTTTTAAGTTTTATTTGAAAGGCAGAGTTACAGAGAGGCAGAGAGAGAGAGAGAGAGAGAGGTCTTCCATCTGCTGGGTCACTCCTCAATTGGCCGCAGTGGCCGGAGCTGCGCACATCTGAAGCCGGGAGCCAGGAGCTTCTTCCAGGTCTCCCACGTGGGTGCAAGGGCCCAAGCACTTGGGCCATCTTCCTCTGCTTTCCCAGGCCACACCAGAGAGCTGCTGGATTGGAAGTGGAGCAGCCGGGACTCGAACCGGCACCCACATGGGATGCTGGCACTGCAGGCAGAGGCTTTACCGGCTACACCACAGCGCTGGCCCCCCCAAAAAATTTAAGATGCAGAGAGACAAATACAAAAAGAGCTTCCATCCACTGGTTCACTCCCCAAATGCCTGCAACGACCAGGACTGAGCTGAGACCAAAGCCAGGAGCCTGGAACTCCACCCAGGTCTCCCACCTGTGTAGCAGGGACCCAACAACATGAGCCGACATGGGCTGGGGGCCCCTTAACTGTTAGGCCAAATGCCCGTCCCTGGGTTCCACTGTGAGTGTGTGAAGTCTGGGGAGCCTGTGGGGCTTCCAGGTGGAGGCATCCAGGAAGCAGCAAGGCCTGTGTTCAAAAACTGGCACCTCTGAACACACACTTGGCAACCGAAACCAGGGGACTGGGTGAGGTCAGTCTCGAAACCGAAAGAAGTGCTTCAAGGCGGCCTCGGTGCCCAGGCCATGGTAGGGTAGGGAACGCGAGGCACGAACTCAGACAGAGCCCGTAGACCCCGTGGTGCTCAGAAGGGAGCCCCCGGGCCAAGCCAGCGAGCCAAGGTCACCCCGGGGGACTGGGGGCTGGCCGGCCTGGCAATGACTCCTGAGCGATTGTATCGCACGCTCTCCCGGCTGCAGCCAAGCTGGAGCCAAGGGCCCCTGTGGCACACTGAGTTCTTAGTAGAAGCCAGAGTTCCCAAAGAACTCCCCGCTTAAGGAACACCCGCAGGGAAGAGGAAGTGGGGTCCGTGAAGAGTCAGTGGACCAGTTTTAGGCCACTCTGGGTAAGAGCCCAGGAAGGGGGGGATGTTCCAACAGCTTTTTTTTTTTTTTTTTTAAGATTTATTCATTTGTTTGAAAGTCAGAGTTACAGAGAGAGAGAGAGAGAGAGGTCTTCCATCCAGCTGGAGCTGCGCCGATCCAAAGCCAGGAGCCAGGAGCTTCTTCCAGGTCTCCCACATAGGTGCAGGGGCCCAAGGACTTGGGTCATCTTCTACTGCTTTCACAGGCCACAGCAGAAACCTGGATCGGAAGTGGAACAGCCGGGACTCGAACTGATGCCCATATGGGATGCCGACACTACAGGCAGTGGCTTTATCCGCTATATCACAGTGCGGGCCCCCAACAGCTTTCTTAAGGGGACCAGCCTTCAGGGCAGGAAGCAGGGAGAGGGAAGGGGAACAGCTGGGGTGGGGGAGGGGTGGCCATTGTTGAGGGTCCTGGGAAGAGCTGGAAGAAGCCTCCGGGTGGGGAGGGCTCTGGGTCAAGGGGCCTCGATGAAGAGGAGGGACCTAGATCAAGAGTGGGCTTGGGGCCGGTGCCGCGGCTCACTAGGCTCACACTGGGTTCTAGTACCGGTCGGGGTGCCGGATTCTGTCCCGGTTGCCCCTCTTCCAGGCCAGCTCTCTGCTGTGGCCCGGGAGTGCAGTGGAGGATGGCCCAAGTACTTGGGCCCTGCACCCCATGGGAGACTAGAATAAGTACCTGGCTCCTGGCTTCGGATCAGCACGGTGTGCTGGCCTCAGCGCGCCGGCCGCGGCAGCCATTGGAGGGTGAACCAACGGCAAAAGGAAGACCTTTCTCTCTGTCTCTCTCTCTCTCACTATCCACTCTGCCTGTCCAAAAGAAAAAAGAGTGGGCTTGGGAAGCAGTGCTGACTGGGAGTGAACCTGGAGGAGAAAGGGTCTCTGGGTTTGTCCCGTGGTGGGATTCGGGTGGGATCTTCTACTGCTATCTCAGGCCACAGCAGAGAGCTGGATCGGAAGAGGAGCAGCTGGGACTCGAACCGGCGCCCATGTGGGATGCTGGCGCTTCAGGCCAGGGCGTTAGCCCGCTGTGCCACAGCACTGGCCCCTATATTTCTTTTTTAAGTCTGGGTTTATTGAGGCAAGTGTTGTGGTGCAGCAGGTTAAAGCCATGAGCTTATTTTCTAAAAAAAAAAAAAAAAAAAAAGGTGGAAAATAAAATGAAATGTTTATCTTGGTACAAAAAAAAAGAAGTTGAGGGCGCCGGCACCATGGCGCAGTAGGTTAATGCTCCACCTTTGGCCCCAGCATCCCATATGGGCAAGGGTTCAAGTCTCCGCTGCTCCCCTTCTGGTCTAGCTCTCTGCTATGGCCTGGGATAGCAGTGGAAGATGGCCCAGATGTTGGGCCCCTGCACCCACGTGGGAGGCCCAGAGGAAGCTCCTGGCTCCCGGCTTTGGACCCATGCAGCTGTGGCTGTTGAGGCCATTTGGGGAGTGAGCCAGCAGACAGAAAACCTTTCTGTCTCTCCCTCTTTCCCTCTGTAACTCTACCTCTCAAATAAATTGAAAAATTCTTTTTTTAAGAAAAGGTAAACTCCATGCCTGTTTATATCAAAATATGCATTTCGCCTCCAGTTGCTGACCTGTCCCACACTTCCCCACCCCCCGAAAGGTCACCTCTCAAGGTCAAGGACAATGTCCCTGGTCCTCCGTCTGTAGCACCCAGGCTGGCACCGGGAGGCTGGTTGGAAATGTCTGTGGAATGAAAGCCTGCCTGCCTGCCCAGGGAGCAGCTGGCACGGGCCTGGGTGTAGGGGAGGAGCTCCTAGCATTCTGCTTTGGGGGATTCAGCCAGGCGGGGACCCACCGCGGAACTTGCTGGAGGGAGGCAGGATGCTTG